AAAAATCAACCAATTATTGATGTTATTTCTTTAGACTGGAGGGAGTTAACGTTTAGCCTGAGTGGATCTTCTCATGTTCCTCTAACAACCCAAACAAAAGACTTAAATGCTGCCTAGTAAAACCCACATCTCAGAAATTCCAGGGAACATATCATTCTCATGTTTTAGAGAAGAGAAGCAGATTTGAAATGGAATCTGTTGAAATGAGTATCAGCCTGAAAGGAATTACACTACTTGAAGGGAAATTTAAATGTCCTGAACATGGGCAACATACAAAGTCAAGGGGTGTAAACTGTTTGTTCATTCACTCATTCATCTATTTGTGGATTTATTTAATAAATATTTATCGAAAGCCAACTCTGTTGGCATTCCAGGGTATAAGCAGTTCTGCCATTGGGTTCTGACTCTGTAGGAGGGAAACAGTGCATATTCATTTATCTTCTGAGACATAGGGGGGCCCCAGGGTATCTGATGCTAGTCAGACACATGGAGCATCACACTTACATTTGCCAGTGCCCAACAGCCTTCACATGTGGAAGGAGTTCTGAAGGCAAATGATCTCACCTGGGTGACTGGGCTTGGGGCCACCCAAATAGAAGCTTGCTCAACTTCCCTATTGCCCATATTAAACTGTCTCTATATCTTTACTCACAGTCTTCTCCTTCCCTCTTGTTTCAGAGAATGAAGTGTCCAAGGCTGACCTCTCTCACTGTCCTCACCCTCTGCAGCATCTGGTCTTTCTCTTTCCTCTTGATTTTTTCTGCTCTCTGTAAACATGCCTAGTGTTTGTGCAGACCATTCTCTATTCTGCTACTCCTCAAACTTTCTATGATTTCTCTTTCTATTTCCAGTGACCACCAGCCTTCACAGATGGTACTTCCTCCTCTCTGTTCACTCTATCTGCTCCCCTTGCAGACTCCCTACAGTGCACTAGATGAAGCTAACTGTAGAGATGACCAATGACTTCTATGGTAAAGAGTTGCATCCCAGTATTTGTCATCTTTTTTCTTCCTTGAGAAACAGAACCATCTGTTTTAGCTGAGTACCAGCCAGCTCAGATAAAGACGTTTTCTAGGTTCCCTTGCAGCTAGGTTTTGCTATGTATGTAACTTCTGGGTCACAATTTTAAAAGGAAGGAGCATACTATTCACTTTTGCTTCTTACCTGCATGCTGGCTAGACTGTGGAGGGATGACAGGAACAGTGATTTCAGACCTGAGATAGAAACTGCATGCTAAAGTTGGCAGAGCAACAAGATGGATGGAGCATGACAGCCAGATAGATGGCACAACCATATTAGCCCTGAATTGTTTATGCCAGACTGTTATATGAGATGAAATATACTTTGCACTATAATCTTGGCCTTTATTAGAGCAACCACGTCTGTATCCTCATAGAATAACCCACATATTCCTCAACACAAGTTTTAACATGCTTAGTTCAATGTCTACTTCTCAGTCCCACCTCTTCTTGATTTCTCTGTGTCCTGGGCACTGTGGAGAACCTTTCTTGTTGAAGCTTTTACCTCAGTCTGCTCCCCTACCATTGCACAACCCTGATTCCCTTCCTACCTCTCCAACTGTTCCTTCTTTCTCTACCTCAGTGGCTTTCCCTTCTCCATCTCTCTTTTGACTATGACTGTTCTCCAT